ACTGGTTATCTGATTTATGTTATATAGGTGCTAACATATAGTTTCACCTACATATACAAGATGAAAGCAACAAATTAAAATACTGCTGATGTAATAATAATAATAATAATAATAATAATAATAATAATAATAATAATCTTAGTTAGATTGTTGGCTAAAAAGTGAATGTGCACAGGTAATGTCTGACACTAAGACGACAAAGTTATTCATTTTTAGTTTCCCGTTTTAATTGATGATTTAAGTAAAAGCAGTGAGCCTAATTATAGTTCAGAACGTTAGCTCAAAGGGAATCAATACCAGATATGTATAAACCGTTGGAAGAAAACTGAAGTGTTATACTTTTTACAGATATTTGGCATTCATTATTAAAATTTGCTAACATGACCTAGCGACATGATAAAGAAAAACCTAAATCATTCAAAAAGCTATCATTTTAGACATATGTGTGACACACATATTCTGACTGTTTCAGTTGATAAGAATTTAGTGTCCCATTAACAAATCTGTTATCTTAATCCGTTTAATCTGAATTTCGCACAAAGAATATACAGTTGTCCGGAAATTATCGAATTCACAAGTCAACAAAATCAATAACTTGGTGTTTAATTACGTTTGATATTGATGAACCTAAAGTTAAAATAACATGGAACTATTGATTTTTGAAAATTAATGATAGAATAGCAATAAATAAACAACGAATTGACTCTGTATAATATTTTTATTTCTTTTCAATAGTGTTACAAACATATATCCTATGAAGTGTAAGTAGTTGGAATTTATTATTAGAAGGAATTTGAAGATAATCTAAAAGATATATGGGAAATTGATACGATTGATCTATTAGAGAATAATCAACTACGGGATTCAAGGAGGGGAAAGCAAAAGGACAACAATTAACAACAGCCAAACAAGAACAGAGGAAATTAAGGCGCAGGATGAATGCACAGAAGCAAACAAGCTAATGAAGAGGAGCATCATAGTCCACAAGCAGAAATACATGGAAGATCTAGCAGGGAAAGTGGAAAAAGTAACGGAAGGAAATATGACACAAAGAAGAAATCGGTAGGAAACCATCACCAAAACAGCACAATTATTTGTAAACGATTGTCTTCTCAAGATGCTCAATGTCCGTTTGCTGGATACCATCAGTAACAGCCTACTGTGAAGGAGAACAAACCAGCTTTCAACTGAGGAGGAAATTAGCAGAATGCTTTGGAGGCGGATAGGAGATATATTGTGGATATCATCAAACTGCTTCATGAAACAAGCTCTAACTTTGAATCCTGAAGAGAAACGGAAATGAGGGAGGCCAAGGAACACGTCGCTTCAGAAATTCTAAGCAGACTTCAAAAGGATGAATAGCAACTGAAAAGGAGATAAGAAGACAGAGTTGGATGGAAAATGCTGGTGAGTTGCCTATACTCCTCCAAGAGGGGTAACAGGTGTAAGTAAGTAATTAATTTACATTGTGAAAAGAGACCGATGGGAATTTCATTTTTGAGCTAACCAATCTGGTTTAAGGTAACGACTGCCTGGTTTTCCAGCGAAAATCATTCATTCATACGCAAAAATGGATAGTGACTAGCAGTGTAATCCAGGACGAGCGTTCCGTCCTATTTGGGACGCGTCAGCTGGATGCATCCAAGTTGATGTTCACTCCTGGACTCGAATCTAATACCGTTCGCTTCAAACGCCATCGCATTATCTACTTAGCTAATGAGTTCTGACAGAACTATCCATCTTTGCTTATAATGCTTGTGAAGTAAGGCAATAACGAGGCAATATGCACAGTATGCACATATGCCGATAAGGGAGTGGTCAATTGCGGTTCTAAACATCAATCGGAAGATTCAAGTAAACAATACCAAGTGAATTTATTCATCCATATAGTTGTAGAGAATTTTAATATTACAGCTAGTGTCAGTTCATGAATAAAACCTTGACTGTAATTATTAAGCCTAAGTTCCGACTTCTAATCCTAAGTAGTAGAAGTTTCTCAAAGCCACTTTTAGTATTATTCAAAGGTCGTCCATAAGTTATGTTCTCTTCAAGATTTCACTAAAGTCCCGAACACTGAGTGTAAAATTTTTATACAATATGGAAATAGAATGTTTCTAAGCTGCTTACCGGATCATTAGGTAACAGTAATCAATATTGTGCTTGTTTAGGGCTTGGGACTGATAAAATTCTATTAACAAAATATAATCACAATTGTGTAAATAATCAAACATTGTTTGTACTATAGTTTGGCATTATGTAACTGGATAGAATTGAGTCCTACGGAGGGCATCCGTTTTCTGAGAGTTTCAGGTGGACCTTACGAGATCAAATAGCATGAAACGTTGACTGTCGGTCGCGTTCAATTACTTAACACTAAAGTTTTGTAAGAACATCGGTACGAATTCTTCCTGTTAAATTTAATTAATTATAACTACAGTTAAAAGGATACGAAGAAATCGTTCAAACCGTTAATTGGTTATAGATAGATTGAACAATTAAAAACAAACTATACAATTTATATTTTGATAGTAGAAAAGATATATTGCAATACATTATTATATACATAGGATGACCATTCGGAAAACATGACTTGATATTCAAAATTCGAAAAGATTCATGTATATAAGATTTGTTCGCTTGTATTAGTGATCGGATATAGAAGTCAATTGATTCATTACATATAAACATAGTAGTTTTACAGGAAGTTAGTCTCTAACCGAATAGCTCAGTGACAAACACATCAAACTGCATACACAGATAGCACCACTAAATTTGCGTATGTGACGAGGTTGACTAATAAGTGCGGTTTAAAAAGGATTACAAATCGTTGAGAGATTTCAGTCATTCATCATCATTTCGTGGATCGAATTTATTCGCAAATCTTATCATAAAACTAACAAAAGATTATTATTAAATTTATTTTATGTTTATCTATATGTATGTATATGGAATAAATAGATGTACTTGCGAACAAAAATACTGCTTTCTTTCTATTCCATACTCTCTCTTTCTACGTCATGTGTTATGTCGAGAATCATTTTTACAGAATTTTCAACAGCTGTTTATTATTTTTTGCTAAGTGTAAAATGGACCAATCATTCACCTTTTTATTACAGCATTCAAAATCAATATTGATAGAATATTGAGATCTATTTTTGGGTGTTCATATAGAAACCAGAAAAATGACATAAAGTGGGTAATATTGGAATAGCTATTTCCCAACAATCTGCATGAGATGCATATATGCCAGACAAGGACTGGTCAAGTTTCATTCAAGAATATCAACAATGGGATAAACCAATCCATTTCACATTGAATTAAATCGGAATAAATAACTATTGTCGTTGGACCGATCAGAATAAATCATTCAGTTATTTATATTCTGAATTATTTAAGTTCAACTAGAAATAATAGCTTCATTGAAGGAAAGGAAGAGAGAATGGTTCAAGAAAAATCAATTTTAAATGAATGTAAAGATTGATCAAGATTTTGGAGATGGAATATAACACTTCACACTTTTCATGACTAAATACTGAATGGACTAGTTTAAAGGACACATTAGACAAGAATTCAATTCGAAATTGATTTAGTTCCGGGTGTTTTAGTGTAAAGAAGCATTTCGAGAGAGGAGCATTATTTTTATCGACGAACATTTTGTAATAGACGTTCTCTCAAACAGCATTTTCACAAGTGTACATAAAATTGACGTGTTTATTATGGTTCTGAATACATCAGTTATCGGACGCCTATTCTACTCAAAACAGGATTTTATGTACTGAAAATTATTCTGTCACTGAAGTCATATGATAGTGTGGTGCACATTAATGAATAGTTAATGAACATTAGGTTTTAGAAACATGTGACGGAGATATAATTTATCCAAGAAAATTGCTTGTGAAAGAAGGAAGATGTAGATTTTAAAGAGAGGAGGTAGGATATTGATATTCATAATATGATAATAATGATAGATTCCATGAACACCAGCAAAAAGCTGTAGCTACCGAGGATCCATTAGGACATATGAAGTTTGGAAGTGCACGATAAAAATAGTAAACGAAATGGTGAGATAGAAAGTATATCAAGTTTACTATGAAACGTGAAAAGGATGACAAGTCCCATCATCTAGACATTGCCGTACAACGGAGGGTACAGTTCAACGTCCAGTTTATCGAGAAGATATATACAGTATGGTGATTCTCTGAATTTTAACAGCTATTATCGGATCAGTTACAAAAATAGACTGATGAAAACACGGTTTCACAGAACGGAAACGACATGCAATATCGATAAATCAGACGAAAAGACTAGGAAAGAAGCCAGCTAACGCAAAAAAGACAAGGTTTGAATCCTAACATTTTATTCGGTTGTCATTCGTTACATATATGTAAAAGTGAGGGAATTGTCGTTGAACACATTGGCTGCGTTCAACTCATACTTGTACCGATTTTCTACCATCTAAAAGGTAAATGAAATGAACACAAACATGATGAGAAGGTTGAAGAGGAGTTGATTTAACATACTGACTGTAAGTAGAAGTATGTAAGTAAATATGGGTGAGTGAACACACTAGTTAGTCGGTCTAATGACTGACTAACTGACTGACTGACTGACTGATCGACCGACTGACTGAATAAATAAATAAATGGATGAATGAATGAATGAGCGATTGGTGAAGTGTTCCAAACGAGAGTGTTTGAAAGTGATGAGATGAACGACCAGCTGACACTTCCGAATGCACTCCTCACAGCACATAGAGAATCGAGACGGCGGCCTAACAAGAATAAGCACCACATACATCGCCACATAGGACAACAACCTGCACGAGTGGTGGGATGGATTGGTGACAGTCAGTGAACACACGCACACACACATTCATTCATTTACTCAGTCACTCAATCACACACCCACAAGACAGTGAATTCTCCAATCAGTTATCAGATGTTTGATATTAGAGTGGAAAGTGATGGGTGTTTGTTGGCAGACTTACCTCGTTGTGGACGTTAGTATTTTCTCGGATGTGTTGGAGCGCGAGGACCTGAAAACAAGTGAAACAGAGGATGTTGGTCAGTCACAAACTCGGTAGATTACGTGGCAATTGTAGTGGAGTGAGTGAGTGGGTGGGTGGGTGCGTGAGTTAGTGAATGGTTGGTTGTGTGACATGGAACAAATGTGTGATAGCATTCAACGGGTGAGTGTGAGGACTGATGGTGTAGTAAAAGTTAGTGAGCGACTGGGTGATTGATTGAGTATGTAATCTGGCTGTAGAGTGAGTGAATGTGTCGGCGAATGTGTGTATGTGCACATGCGTGTGTGTGTGTTCGGAGGAATGACTGGTGTGTCGTAATGGTCAAGATTGTTGAAATAAACGGAGATAAGGAATAGAAGTGGTTGGTGTAGTGTCGACTTACTACGAAGACGTGGTGGTGATCTGGGTGGGTAGGCTGGTCTCTGTGCTCTCTTCGATGGTTTCGGACGTGCGGTTGACTTGGTGGTGGCAGGCGAATCTGTGGAGTAAAATCAGAGTACACATATGCACTGTTCACAGTCTGAACACGGAAACACACAATTCGAGTGATGCACATAGGAAAAACATTCCAACACAAAATTCAATGCACATCATTAGTGAAGAGAGTGAATGGACTGACCTGGTTTCGCTGAAGCTGCTGCTGGTTTGTCTGGTGCTGCAGGTGAATCCGATGCGGCTGGTGCAGCTGGTTGCTGATCAGGTGATTTGACTGGAGCTGAGGGTGCGCCATCTGCATTGAAAAACAGTAACGAAACAATGTGTTGTCGGTTTAAGTTAAGTTAAGTTAATTTCAATTGCAGCAGTCTGATTCAGTTCGCGTCTCCACCAGGTGTGTGCAAATCGACGACTGACTTGATCGGTACCACTCACTGCCTAACTGACCAACTGCCTATCTGACTGACTTGGTTGTCAATAATGACAGGGAAAGTGAGAATTGAGGCGAATTTTATCATGAAGTGAGTGACAGAACGTTCGTACGACTGTCAGCTGCGAAATACACTGATGCTCGATGCTCCGACGCACATGGTTTGAATTGTGTGAGTTGGCTGTGATCGATTGCACTGGTGTGGGAACAACTTACAGAGTAATTAAGTAAGTAGGTTAGCAAGTGAGTGAGTGAGTGATTCAGTGAATGAATGAATGAATGAATGAATTAAATGGTGAATGAATGGATGAATGAATCATTGGAGTGATGGATGGACGGATGGAGGGATAAATGGATGAATAGTTTGATGAATGACTAGTCGGATGAATGAATGAGTGAGTGAGTGAGTGAGTGAGTGAGTGAAAGTGGTCCGTGTCTGTTGGTGTGAAACTCACCTCCATCACAATTCACCACATCCAGATAGTTCACAACGAAGGCGAATGTCAATACTGTCACCTGTGTGTGGGAGAGAGAGAAAGAGAGAGAGTTTTGGTTGGTTAGACGAATGAATGCCTCACCAATGTTCTTTGCATTTGTACGTTCGGTGATTTCTGATGTTCCAGTGAGTTGTGGACTAGAATTTATACGTTTGTGGAGTTGTCTATTTGTCGGTCAACCAATTGAATCCTTGTTTTCAACAAATCGTTACTGACATTGTGATGTTTGATTGGTGGTAGAAAGTGTCATGTCACTTTGATTGAGTGAAACATTCAGTGAAATCAATTGACGGATTGATTGACAGAATGCGATGTTTGCTTGTTTGTCTTATTCAGTGATTAGTGTTAATGAAGAGTTGACAATTTGAATCATCCACAACGAAATTTCGATTGTGAGTGTTATAGTTATGATCCAATACTTTAGTGGGTGATTCTTGTGATTTTAAATGGAATTATATGGCCAGTTTTCTACCACCTCACATGCTATTAGGTTTGCTTACGGTTTTACTCGAACAGTAACAGCTTGTATATATCTTTGTATTATTTTACTATCATTCATGCTTGATAAAATGTGACAGCCTACGCATTTAGCCCAATCTCTAGCTTGAATGTTGATTGCTTAAAATGTATATATATATATATATATATATATATATATATATATATATATTGTTGATCGACTCAACTCTGACTCGCAGTTTGATTTGGAGTTCTACACCATTCCATTTTTACCGCTCCAGTTAATTTGTTTTAGATTTTTGTCTTTCGTTGATAAAATATGAATAATACTTGTTGCCCACACATTGTTTATCGGTCAACTGGTTGGTTCATTTTGTGGCTTTTTGTCTTGTCAATTGATGTTTATTATAGCCACAAATAATCCATGAAATATTTTAAATTAGGGAAGATGGAACTCGATAAGCACAAATGAAAATTTTATATTTTGATTCCAAATTAACAGCGGTATAAAGTACGAACGAATCATTGATCTGTACAAATACAACAATCGAAATGACCTGAATGGGAATTCGGACTTCTATAACCTGTTATACGTCTTCTTCATTGGTCTATCATGTATTTATCTGGTTGTGTATTGGGTAAAAACTCTATATGATCTGGAATATACTCATCAGTTTTAGAATTAACAACCGAAATAGGAACAGAATCACCTGGTCCATGGGATTGTATTTGATCAAGATATCGGTTGTATCTACTTAAATAACTGATAACTAGAATTTGAACCATGTGTCTACTACCCATTCCAGCTCATCAAATGCTAAAGAAGGAGTTGCAGCAGTGGCAGTTTTTAACGTCGTGATGAAATTTTGTGCCTGACCATCAGATAAAGGGTGTCTACGACCAGTGAACATGTGAGACCCTTTATTTAGATGTCAGTTTGATCGGACAATGTTGTCGATGGGTTCTCCACTTTAGTGGCCCAAGCTCTGACTCCAAGTAGATAGTATGAATGATTATCACTCAACAATGTCATAGAGACCACCTCTCAACTGAAAAATCTTCTTAATACTTCGACTGTGAAGCCGGAATTCGGTAAAGCTGTGTAGAAACTTTAGGCTACTTAGAAAAAGAACCAATGAAAACAAGGGAGTGGTACTGTGATAATCAGAAGTATTTGAATTATAGTATAAACTAAGAATCCCAGGAATAACTTGATCGGATCAAGAAGTACTAGATAAGCACGAACAAATGTACTGTATTTGGAATTCGAAATCAAGCATTCAACAAGTATAAAGGTATCATTAGTTCATTCAAACACCACAGGTATTTACTGAGAAGTAGACCATAAATGTCTGAATGAGTTGTTTTCTAGGCCTCATACGATACCGGCCATGAAGTCCACTTTGACGGATTATTTTCACATTTATGATGTCTTTCACAAACGTTTACTCTATGTCATATATCTGCATTTTTTCTCCGGCCACCAAAATATGAGCCTTGTCAAAGATTTCATGTCCTCAACACCCAAATATCCACTATGAAGATATTCAAGGACAGGTTTACGTAATAAACCGGGAATAATAACACCATTAAGAGTAGTGGATAATTCATCCTACTTGGTGCAGTAGATAGGAAATGTGAGTTTCCGATTAGAATTCCAACCTTTTCGCATAGCACTGAGTATACATCAAAAGCATCGATGACTTTCTCTAATGAGATCTGGACGGCTCACTGGTAGAGGTTGGACTAATAAACAGACTGCAGTATCAAAAGGTTTATACTGTGATAACAATAGAGATATATAATCAAAATTTTGACTTTGTTTGGGAATCCTGTGCCGAATAGTATGTTGATAAGTACTAAGAGAAAAACTTTGGTGGCGCTCTATCTGACTCCAGTTAGATCACATGATGGTTGTTATCGAAATATACATCCCGGCTACTTTCGTATATAATTGTTGATTTAAATCACGTTTGTGAATAATGGAATTAAATCAGTCAAATATGAGAATGAAGTTTGAAGACGCACATTTCATATAGTCGTTGGTCCAGGCGTTCAAAGGAACGAGACGAATCGGGGAAGGTAAGTGAGTCAACTCGTTTTAACCAATCATGACTCGATATTTATAGTCAGACAAAAATAGGTCACATATATGTGAGGAGTGGGTAGGGGATTAACACACACGCTCACATAAAAACAGTCAAAGTTAATATTCCATAATTGACAAGGTTAAAATGTGACTCAAGAATAATGAATAAATTGGTCTATCTGAAAGCTAGGACAACTCATATGGGCTTGACATAGTGTCAACCACTACAAAACTCCATCATTAAGTCATGGCAGGTGAGAAGCGTGTTAAGGACGCTTCAGGATAATAGAAGAATCTTAAAGCTTCATGAACCGTAACAATAGTGAATCTCTTTACAAATAAATATATATGAATGTTAGGTTCACGAATTGGGTTGTTTCGGTACGTCTGTCGGAATATTTGCATGAAATACAGATTACTGGTCTATCTTACCGCTCCTAAACTACACCATAACCTACAGATGGTGCATCAGTAATAAGTACAGAATGTACGCTAAGGGAGTGTGTTTGAATAACACCATCACTTTGAAGAGAAATCGTGGGCATGACTCTTGTTCCTCACCACATTTAAATAATAATAATAATAATTTATATTCTGAAAATAATAATTACAGAATTCACGCCAGTTTACAGGCATGATCAATTTGATATAAATAGTAACATTTAGATGTACAGAACAAACATTTGATAGAAAAAAGATTTAGGTGTACTTGTTCAGTAGTTGTTTAAATAGTACATGAATTACAGCGATCCAATGTATCAGCCAGCAATTTTTAATATTTCTTAAATGGACAGCCCGTTGATTAATGAACGGAGTAATTAAGGTCAATTCGTGTGCCAGATCGAATTAATGGTAATTATCCACAACTAGAGAAACGAAAACGAAAACAGAGAGCACGGAACAACAAAGCGGTAATTACCAAAATATATGAATCAGGTCTACCTAAATGCGTGTGTCATGTGACACAGTGATATACTGTTGATGTTATTCAAATTAATTAAACTTTCTGGGGACGGTGTTGCCATAAAGTGACAGCAAGTAAGTGGTTTTACTTAGGGAATGCACTAATAAAAAATGGCTAAACATTTAAAGTTCCTATAATACTACTTGTGGAATGAGATACACTTACAGGTGCTAGACCATTCAATGCATTTTCAGAGGAGCAGTATGCAGCGATACAGCGAACAAATAATGGGAGTGATTTTATCGTTCAGATAGATTGTGGTAGGTTATTTCAGAGTCTAGAAAATTTACAGGTGAAGTAATTCATATAAAGAGATGATTTAGAATGAGTTTGTTTCACTAGTGCCAAGGAATTACGGATGTCATAATTAGAAGTTTCTGCATATTAATCACGTGATTGGATGTAAAGGATAGTTTATGAAGTAGTTTGAAGAAAAAGATAAGATTTAGTTTGGGTCTCCTTTTCCATAAAGGGTTTAGCTCAAGTTTATTAGATTTAGAATTATAAGTTAAGGGACAATCAGCTCCAAGAATACGAAGTGTAAATCGTCTCTGTACTGATTCCAGTCTTAATTTATCCTTTATGCGCGCACTGCTAAGAATAAACGTGCAATATTCTAGAAGAGGTCGAGCACAAACTTTGTACATTAGAATACGTGACTCATTGTTGTAAAGATTTCGAGTTATGTAGCCTATTAGACGCCGAGACTTAGAGGTCTGTCTTAATATCTGTTCTGTAAACGATAAGTCTTGGGAGTATCTAAGTCCTAAGTCTACTACTGTATGTAACCTAGATAATACTTCTCCATTCATGGTAATATTTAGGTTGAGTGATGTATCGCGGAAGCACATCCATCCACATTTAGCCGTATTAAGCTCCGGTCGCCATTTTAAGCACCACTGTGCTACCTTGTTAAGCTCCATGCTGACGCGATTTCGCACATAGTTCAGCACATATGGAGAAAATGAATATACTACTTTAAGATCATCTGCATATAGAAGGGGCTTACCCACACAAAAACTTTCACAAATATCATTGATAAACACTAAGAAGAGCAAAGAGCCTACGACACTACCTTGTATTACACCACTTCTAACATGGACAGCGTTGGACAGTGAAGAGTTAATTTTAACTATTTGATGTCGATTGCTGAGAAAGGAATCAAGCCAAGCAAGCAAAGGATTTTGAACCCCATAAGATGCGAGCTTACCTATAAGAAGTTGGTGGCTAACCATGTCAAAGGCTTTAGAAATGTCCAGATATAGCACTAGGACTAGATATCCTTGGCTACGTAGAGAAAACACTAAATTAAAGAAGTCAAAATGACATGTCATGCAAGAACGATTTTTAAGAAATCAATGTTGAGTGTCATTGATAAATTTTACAGCGAGTAAATAGTTGGAAAGCTCATCACTTATAACTTTTTCCATAATCCTAGAAATAACTGGAGTAATATTTATCGGCCGATAATTGTTCATCTCAGTCTTATCTTCAGATTTGTAACGTG